GGGGGGGGCTGGACTTGGCGCATCGCTTGTTCGCAGAGCACATATGCTAGTGGTTAACACTATGATGCACACTTTAAAGTGTTTGACTGTATATTTGAATACTACAAAGTGTTTAACAGTAAATTTAAACACTTTAAAGTGTTTCAACATTAGGGTTGGCCATGAAACTTTCGACACTTTAAAGTGTTCAACTTTACTGTTAAACACTTCGAACTTATTCAAATATCCAGTCGAATACTTAAAAGTGTGCAATATAGTGTTGAGTACTTGCATGTGCCGAGGGGTGCCCCACTCGCCAACTCGTTGTACACGAGGAAAAATACTCGCAAGATACTCGCGACAACTCGCGAGAAATTCGCGAAAACTCGCGAAAAAATCGACAACTACTCGCCTAATACTCGCGGATACTCACCATTACTCGCATAAACTCGCATAAACTCGCGGATACTCGCTAATACTCTCTAATACTCGCGGATACCCACGCAACTCGTTGTACACCCACTTGGAGAGTGGAGGACCCCTCGTCATGTGCGCACCAGTTGAACACTTAATTTATCAGTGTAACCAATACCAGCTATCTGAAATTAGCTAAATTAGCTAAGTTATTTTTCTGCGGACAGTTTTGGACACATGGTTCAAATTTACTGTTAAACACGTATAAGTATTCAAATTTCCCGTCCAACACCTAAGAGTGTGCACCATATAGTAAAACACTAGCATGTGGATGCCAGTTGCACACATTATTTATCAGTGCACTTTCATGTACACGCCCGTTGCAAACTTTTTTTTATCAGTATAACACTGTTATTCAAAGACTATGGTTCCGCATTTAATCCTATGGAGGTGTTTCGCATGACTTAAAATATCACGTCACTTCGGTGGTAGAATGTGACTTGTTTGTTTCTCTATATTATGTACTGGAGAACATGTTTATAAATTTTTATTTTGATCTTTCTATAAAAATTAACGAATATTAAGGGATCTCAGAGGAAGCTGAAAATCAAGGTTGGTGACCTTTGATGGAGGGGTAGGAAACAAAATTCCAACTTTTTTGTATTGGTGGGTGAATAATTTTTATTTTCGAGACAAAAACGAAAATCATTACTGATTTGACCATATCAGAAGTCTTGGATCGATTAGGAAAAGAATTCATAGTGTTTTTTGTCTGTTACTCGTATCTTTGCTGTGATTTAAATCCCTCCCTTACTCTCTGTTGCAGTTTGTGATGGCGGCCCCGACTTTTCATCTTGCTCGTGCATGCTGTTAAAGGCGAACAGTGACAGTGGATTTGCGACAATATTACCTTGGAGTTTTATGGCTAAATTTTTGTAGTCAGTATCGCAATTTCGATTATAGTGATGGGGTGGTGGTGGTCCCCAGACACTGCGTTGCGTACGCCGTGGATCCTTACACTGTGCCTTTTCTTTTAGGCCACAACCTACTGGCATTGACGACTAGCTCGCCACTCTCCAGCGACTTGGTTCCGCGGGGAGGATCCTGGAAGGTCTCTATTAAAACAAATATAGAAGACTGCACACCAATTGGCGTTCTTTTCATATGTGCAAACTTGGCACACCCAGTGCCGAAATTACACACTAGGACCAGTGTGTAACCAAGTGAGTTGACGGTTCACACTTTCTAAACGTGTCAAATTTTCACAATATGTAGTGGTCTTTATGTTTAAACACGCTGAAGTGTGTTTTATGTTTAAACACAATTGAGTGTGTGCTTTATGTTTAAACTTTATGGAATTTGCCATTTGGTGAAAAGCACAATTGAAGTGTAAAAAAATGCTCACTGATTGTTTTACCAGTGTTCGATGAGGGCCTCGAGGACAGAGAGCTCGATGGCACTAGTGGTGACGGCGTGCTTTCACTGCAGCACAAGCAATGCCCCGCGGAGGATGTGGCGTCCAGTGTGCGGGCGACGCAGTGGACCGCTGCCCAAGGACTAATATTTCAACGCGAGCAGCCCGACAACGATGCAGCGCAGCGCCCACCTGTGTGCGCGGCGCCTACTGTTGTTGACGAAATTTAGCAAGCTGATTCTTATGGTTTATGGTTTTATTGCAGGCGATGAACTGGCGTCAGTGGCGGCCAGCTCGAGCGTCTCCAGCGCCTTATGCCGCAAGAAGGATCCTGGGGAGGTTTCCATTGTCAAGGATTCCGAGGACAACGATGAGCTCGAGCAAAAGGAAGGGCAGCCATGAGGCTGGTGGTGACGAATGCTTTGCGCCAGCTCAAGCAGTGCCCTGTGGAGCGTGCAGTGTGGGCGACGCAGAGCGAGGTTTGTCCGGCGAACGGTGAGCGGGAAGGTAAGCAGACGATTATGGTTAGGATGCGCCCTTTTTCGGTCGGCGATGTCACTAAAAGCAACTTAAAACAAATACGAATCATACAATTGGTTTTCATCATGCTGTTATTTCAGGGGCCGGGGATAACGACTGTGCACTTGCCAGTGCAATAGAGACGAACTCATAGATCCCCTATAAGAGTGAGAGAGCGCGAATGACAACAAAGTGGTCCGCGTCCGTCCGCGTCCGCGGGTGGTCTAGGAGGGACCCCTGCGTTATTTGTTAATCCTCTAATGCTGTCATTGACATCTCTCTCTTTCTGTTGCAGTTTGTGATGGTGGCCCCCTGAACTTGCACGTGCATGCCGTTGAATGTGAAGGGTTGGTCCTCAGATCCAGCAGACACCATGTATCTCCAACGTAGTGCTCTTCTTGCAGGTGACGACCCACTGGCAGTGACGACCAGCACGCCTCTCTCCTGCGACGCGTTTCGCGGGGAGGATCCTGGAGAGGTCTTCTTCGGAAAGGACCCCGATGGCATCAAACTCAAGCAAGAGGACGACCAGCTAGGGCTGGTGGTGACCGCGTGCTTCTCACTGCAGCAGTACCCCGTGGAGGACTGGGCCTGCAGTGTCGGCGACGCAACTGACCTTGACCTGCAACCCGAGGAAGGCCCTGTTGACGGTAAGGTACAACGTGAGCAGCCGTTTAAAGGATACAGTACGAGTGCCTTCTGTCAGAGACGAAATGAGACCTTTCAGGCGCCGTGGATTTTAAAGGCTATCGTCTTCTTGCAGGGGACGACCCACTGGCAGTGACGGCCAGCTCGCCTCTCTTTAGCGACGCGTTCCGCGTGGAGGATCCTGGAGAGGTCTTCTTCGGAAAGAGCCCCGAGGACATCAAACTCAAGCAAGAGGCCGGCCAGCGAGGGCTGGTGGTGACGGAATGCTTCGCACTGCAGCTCAAGCAGTTCCCTGTGGATGACGCATCGTGCAGCGTAGGCGACGCAGAGCGCGGTGCGCCGCAACTTATTGTTAAAGGCTCCGCGGACGGTGAGGTGAAACGCGAGCAGCCCGACGGTGATGTTAAAGAACCTGATGGCCAAAACAATGATGAGGCCGACCAGAAGGACTTAAAGGTGCTGCGGAAAAAGGGAGGTTTCAAAAAATACACATGCAGTGAGTGTAATAGAGAATTTAGGTTCCCCAGTGCTCTGCTTAGGCACATGCTTGTGCACTCCGTTGGGTCTTTTGAATGCGACATATGTAAAAAGTGTTTTAAACGAGCGGATCTTCTGAAGTCGCATAAAAAAGTGCACACTGCTGGAAGTGTAAAACCTTTTATCTGTGACCTATGTAAAAAGCGCTTTGTTCATAAGGGACATATTGTCAGGCACATGAGAATACACACTGGTGAAAAGCCATATATTTGCGAGATATGTAAGAAGGGCTGTTCTCAAAAGGAAAGTCTCGTCAAGCACTTAAGAATACACACCGGTGAAAAGCCATACAAATGAGATCGGTGTAAAGTAAAATTTAGTAATCCATCTAATTTTAAACGACACGGAAAAGTTTGTTTTTAAACCATGTCTGTAAAGATATTTTGACGTCTTATGGAAGTGGAAATAAAATGTTTTTGCTGGCGGACCCTTAATGCTTTTATCTTACTAAAGCGTTTTCTTCTATTGCTACTCGATACGTTTACTGCCATTGATATTTACTTATTTCTGTTGCAGTTCGTGATGGCGCCGCACTTCCTTGCACGTGCACGTTTGGTGGCGGGTCGGTTATTAGACCCTGCAGACATCGTCAATTTCTAATATTGTTGGTCTGATTCCAGGCGACGAGCATTCAGCAATAACGGCGTGCTTCCGCAGTGGCTTCCACTTGGGTGATCCTGGAGAGGTGTCTGCCGATGAGGATCCCGAGGACAACGAGTCCGAGCAAGAAGACGAGGAGATGGTCCTGGCAGTGACATCGTCCTTCTCGCCAAGCCGTCAGCACCAGCAGTGCCCCGCGGATGACCATAGTCTGCTGTCCGAAGAAGACCCTGTGCAACCCGAGCAGCAGCAGCAGCCGGTCAAAGATGCAGGAGAAGCACCCTCTATCCGAGACAAAATCAAGCAGAATGGCTCCGCGAACATGTTTGTAGACTGCATCCCTCAACTTGGCCGAAACAAAGGGCAGGCTGACCAGAAAGACTCACAGTTGCTATGCGAGGATAGGGTTCGAGAATTACCGGTAATTTTGGTTCAAAGTAAAAAACCTGGGTAAATTTCGGTAAATTACTGTTTTTTTGAGTAATTTACTAAAAACAGCGCATTTTAAAGAAAAACGCAATTTAAAACATTTTTTAAGGGTACTTGTACGTTTTCCCGATTACGATATAGTAATGAAAGCACCTGCTTCAGTAGCACCACCGACATAGACGGACTGAATAAAAAGTGAAAAGATTTTAACGAGGGAGAACAGATACTTTGCTCCTCACCACCCGATAAAGAACCTTTTAAAATATTTGCCGCGTTCTGAAAGCATACGTAGTGCATCCTTGCGTACACCAGTGAAGTCTTACGTCTAGCCTCGCTGTAGCCACATGAAGTTTTAATGTCTGCCTCTGTGCACAATTACGAAAAGAACTTAAAATGTATGTAATTGTCTGCATAGTTCACAAAGCATTGAAGCCGAAAACCTGCACAAATTGCAAAGCTTCAAGCAAAATAGATCATGGATATGAATTTGTCCACTGGAAATATTAGAACGTTGTCAGTCAATCCATTAAAATTCAGTGGCCTTACGGCCTGTATGAGAAGAACAGCCGCATCTATGCGTGCATCCGGTAAAAAAGTAAAATATATGAGCAAAATAAGTCTGATTTCTTACAAGTCTTGAAGTAAATTACTTTGAGGGAAAGTAATTTACCGTAATTTACTAGTATTTTACTCAAAATTTCTCGAAATTTACTTTGCTCTCGAACCCTATGCGAGGAGAAAGGTATTAAGAAGTACTCATGCGGCGAGTGTGATAGAAAATACAGTGCCAGCAATGCTCTGCTGGCGCACTTGCGTGATCACACTGGGAGGACTTTTGTATGTGAAATCTGTGAGAAGGGTTTTAAGCGAACAAACCATCTAAAGACGCATAAAATGTATCATCACAGTGGAGAAAAACCATTTACCTGTGACGTTTGTAACAAACGTTTTACTGAAAAAGGGAATCTTACCGTGCATCTGAGGTCGCATACGGGTGAAAGACCATACATGTGTACCATCTGTAAATTTCGTTTTACTCTAAACTCCCACCTTGCCGATCACATTAAGACGCACACAGGTGTAAAGCCATATGCGTGTGACACATGTATGAAGTGCTTTACTCGAAAGCAAGATCTTGTCAAGCACCTGAGAGTACACAGGTGAAAAGCCACATGTGTGATCGGTGTAAAAAAAGTGTTGGTGGTATATCTTATTTCAAAAGACACAAACAAAGTTTGTATTTAAAACATTTGTAAAGCTATTTACAGAAATTTAGTTATTGAGGTTCCCTGAAGAAAACACAGAAATGTAAAGTATTTCAGAACTCATTGTTAATAGTGAATCATGATAAATTTTGAACCCTAATTAAATTATACTAAATACAGATGTTTTCAGAGGAATCATTATTTGCACTTTTTAAATTAAATTATTTAATTTAGTTCATTAAGGTTGGATGCCAAAACCTTTGTGAAGTGAACTGTATTGATTTCCAAAACCGAAGCTATGTAAGAGCTTGCGAGCGAACTTCGTGAGTCTTCCCAATGAACTCCGTAATTTGTCTTTGCGTTTGTAGCTATCGCAATGTGTTCATGATTTTACTCATACACGCGCACGACGAACAACACACACATACCCTCACACGCCAACTCAAGACGCACTCTTGGCGCGTGAACGGGCTGCTGCTGTTTATACCGCTATTTTCACCAGGAAGATGAACCAAGGGCGTCCAAATTTAGGCCCACGCGGAGCGAACGCGCAGAAAACAGCAGTCGAAAACAGAAACAGGCACAGAGGGAAACAACTGTAGTACTAATATTTATGTGCGATTAGAGCCACTTAATCTGTAAATTTCTGTAAGTGAGTTATTGCGCAATATATTTTGATTTTGTGTTCTCGTGCAGCTCATAGTTCATGGCTTTAAGTGCTCGCCCTATGGTGGATCCACCATAGGCCATCCGGATGGCGCGTGGATCCGCCCTATGTTACTTCTTAAGAAAGGCGACCTACGCAATGCACAGTGGGTCATAAGGGTCAAAACTGCGCCAAATAGTTATTTTCGGTCAAAATCGACACAAGTGGTCAAGAACGACCTACATAACCAAGACGATTATGGTTTGGACCCACCACGGCTACTCTAGCAGTGTTAAAAGTATGACAACGACAAACACTGCCATTACTGTTGAGATATCGCGAAATATAGTCAGTTATGCACCTAGCCGGAACCGGACGAGTTGAAGATATGCCTTGTGATAAATCAATGCAGAACCCGTAGGAAAAACCGTTACTTTTGCAAAAGGGAACCATTTCGAGTTGTTCTGGACCATACGAGTCGGTTTTTGACCAAAAAATGTCTTTTGCGCATAGTTTTGATCTTTTTGTCCCACTCAGCTACGCGACGCACTAATAAATCAAAAAGTGTTGCACTGGTAAGTTAAATACTCACAAGTGTTCAACACGGTTATTTGCACTTGCTGGTGTTTCACGAGACAGTTCTGCACTTGAAAGTAGTGTCCACTCCTCAGTTCTCAGTTGAACAAAAATGCTTCTTTTTAAACAACTCTGCCGACATATGCGATGCGGCTGTTTCCCGGGCACCCTCGGTCAACCGCGAGCATCGGCCGGGCAGCAGGGCGAGGGGCTGGGGGGCAGGCTGACGAACAGTGTGCTTGGCAGGTAAGGGAGACGTTATTTTGAGGCTGTCTGAGCAGGAAGAGGGCTGTGACTTCTGGTGACTGACCTGAGGAAGGGGAAAAGGGGAGGGGGGGGTCATTTTGTGTGTGGAATTTTAAAATACCTTTTTGTGTTAATCCCTACGAAACAATTGCCCCTGATGGTGGGACTGGCAGGGCTTCTGAGTAGATCTTTCCCAGACCGAAAATTGCCTCCCATAGCGCCTGGTGGGTAGGCAACAGCAGCGCAAATGCGTCTTGTATTGCCTATACGCCGCTTCCACATGCGCTTGCGCACGCGGCGTACACTCCATACACTTCTCTCCTGGGGCAATAAGTCTTTTCGCCCTACGGGGCTGTTGCCCCCCCCCCCCCCCCGGCCTTGGTAAGCTCGAGGACCAATAACTCGAGTTATAGCCCGAACGATAATACCATTCACCCATATCACACCATACCTCCCCACCCACCTTCACCCCTAAATGATAAGCAATGGAGGAGTGCACCACAAAAACGGGAAGAGTAGCGATTAGTACGCCATGAGTACAGAAAAGTACATTATGAGAGATAAGAACAACGTACAACTGAGTACACTTTCTTTGTACTACTCATGAGTATAGAATTGATGCCACCCCTCGCTTTGACGCTTTGGGGTGCTCGATGAGCTGCCTGCTCGCACGGAGCGAAGCTGCTGACGCTCTAGAAGTGAGAGGGGCTGCCATCTACACGGCGCCATGGTGCTCGGTGAGCAGCCGCGCTCGCAGCGATCAATCAGGTGGCATATACTCATGATTTGGTTGGACGACGGAAACGAAACGTTAGTATGACGCGGTCTTGTACGATATATGGTATTGCGCTGGTATTACGCGCCAATAATGGTCGCCACGTACCGTGCCGTGTGTTGTACAGTACGCCTCGTCGACGGGGCGCCGGCCGTGGCGCTGGGTGCGTGGCGCTCAGGTGCCCGATGGGCTGCCGCGCTCACGGCGCTCCGCTGCGCAGGTGCGTGGTGGGCTGCCTCGCGCAAGGCGCTACCACGACGCGAATAGTCCACAATCTTGGTTTCATTTTTGCTTTTTGTCCTCTCTTTCTTTTCCAACTTTACCCCGATATTTGACCCGTGCAAGGGCACTTTGCCGAGTATTTTTACTAACTCGCGCTGCGCTTTTGGCGCGGGCTGCCTGTTCACTTCGCGTCCATCTCCTCTCTTGAGCCTCCCCTGAAATCTTTATCCCCGGCGCTCATTAAAAAGCCCGTAACGTGGAGTGACGTGTTGTTCGCACGCCGCCCATGTGAGTAACAGACCGGGCGGGGCGGGCCGCCGGACCGGCAGCCCTGTGGGCAGGCCGGCCAGGCCAGGCCCCGTGGCCCATATTCTCAGCATTGTTGGTGCCCCCGCCCCGCCACGCCACGCCTTGCCTCGCCACGCCACGCCACGCAACTCCCCACCCCCGCCTCGCCACACTGGCCTAGCAACACGCGTAATCTAACACGATCCCGGGCCTGGCCCAAAGAGGGCTGCATTTGAAATGCGAGCTGCTCTTGTCTCCCTTCCTGTGCGCAGTGCGGTGCCCGCTTGGCATGTGGTGGAGTGCAGGAGAGAAGAAAAACAACAGCACAAGCTCTGTCGTAGCTTAATGTTAGCTAGTTTCTAGTCTGGTAGCTATTTACCTGTCCCAGCAGAACTTCTGCTGCAGTAGTACCTGAGCTGTGAGTCCTAGTATTGCGTTCTGCAAGTATTAGGTACGGTCGGTACGGTACTGAACCGAACTGCATGTGCTTGCTGGTTGCACACATCAGTGAGTTTGTCGATGTCGCCTTTATTTTGTATGTACTGTTTGGCATGCATGCAGGTGCAGGCAGACATGCGGGTGGCACTGTAAGAAATACATTAATCTCAGCTCACTGGTAATCGTGCCAATGAACTCAGTGAAAAAACAAAGGTAGGAATATCAACACCCCTCTCGGGCTATTAATGACTTTTGTACCTTTAAAGAGGCACTAAAAGATTCGCACCCCTGCAAAGGCAATGAAATACTCCAAAGGAGCTAAATTTCAGTGCCTTTGGGCACATTTGTGTCTTTCTCAAAGTATTAAAACTTAGCATATTTTAAAGGCACTAGTCGTAGTCGTACCTTCCTTTTTCCAGTGCCTGTGTCAAAAATTTGAGAATTACGTTTTATTAGCGGTTTGGTAGAAGTTAAGTCTTAGGTTCCAAATGGTCAAGAGAAAATTAAAATCTCTCTTTAACTTTTGGAGAGCGGTGTGCCAATGAACTTATGTCCACTATAATCTTATCAAGCGTATGTCCACCGTAGGAAGAAAAAAACGCCTTCTGAAATATTTTGTTTTTGAACATAAGTTTATTTACAGGATTACCAGTAAGCTATAAAAGTTACAACCCACCTCATCTACTTGTAAATAGCGTTTAGGCTTTAAATTGATGACGTGAGTTAAAATTATTGCTTCAAAGCAGGCTGCGTATGCCTTGATTTCATTTCATGTTTTTGATGCAAGGTAAAAAGATGGCACAGCCCTGTCAGCGTGATTGGGTATACTCGCCCGCATGCAGGCGTGCGGGTGAGTTGCCTATGAGCTAGGGGCCATGAGGTGCCAAGGTTAGTGCTGATTGGTGAACCTCGCACGCACTTCTGCAAGTTCGCTCCAACTAATCTGGACGGCCAGCCTGTACGACAAGGCTTGGACAATTTTGAGGTGAGAGCTGTTAACTAAAATGAGTTCTCAATTCGTTGACTAATCCATCTGGTACCAGCTTACACACTTTACTAGATTTTTTCAGCCACTTTTACACTAAATGTATTTGTATGTTTTTGTGCAAATGTTCGTACTAAGTTAAACCTACGTTTCGTTCAAAAAATTTGATTTTAAGTTCGTACAAATAAAAGATACAAATGCAGTTAGTGTGATGCGAAATTATCAGAATGAGTATCAACAAAATAAGACAAAGTCACAGGAAAACAAGTTGACACATGTCATACCAATTATTGATCTCTTACCAGATAACGTCTCTTTGATGCTCACTCTTGGCAAAATGCTTTTTAAAAATGTACTCTGCCTCTTAACCGTTCTGTTATTTGCCATGGATTCCATGGTAAGGTGCATCCTAAACGGATTTGGTTATGAGTGAGCATCAAAAAACGTTCACCACACAGGGACACCTCATTTAAGATTTCCTCCTAAAACACCTCACTAATCGTATTCCCCCGTGTTGCAAGTGTTTCGTCAATGGAGGCTGGCACATCCTTATGCAGCCCGCGAGCGGTGGCGTGGGGCGGCGTGGGGACCGCTCGGGGAAAGGCGTAAGGAGGGAGAGAGAGAGAGAGGGAGAGCGGGATAGAGAAGGGAGAGAGGGGCTCGTGAGCGCGAAATGTTGCCGAGTGGCTGCAGCAGGGAGGGGGGTCGGAGCCGGTCGTGTGTTGAGCATGGGACACCGCGGCGAAGGCAGAGAAGGGGGTGCGGGAGAAAGGGGGGGGGGAAGGGGCGCCCCCGGTGCGGTGGTGGTGGGGGGCAGGAGAGCCCCGCGGCTCGCCGGCCCCGCATTAGGGCCTGAGACTCGGTCGAGTCAGGGAGACAGCGCGGCACGGCCCCGCACGACCAGTCCGCCGGAGTCCCGCCGGACCCGGAAACCGCGACCCGAACATGCCGCGCGCGCGCCGTCACCGCGACCTGTGACCTGTGACTGGGACACCCCGCTGGATACTACTATCTGGATTATCAGTGTGACAAGCCAAGTGTGTTAGGTGTAGTTCGTTGTATTTGAAAGAGTTTCGTGTCTTTTTATTGTTTTCAATCTTGTATTGATTGAAAACCGCGCGCAGGTCTGCGACCACAGTGAAGTGTGTGACAGTGTGTGAGTGGGCGGGCCGCAGGCGGGCCGCAGGATGACAGGCCCGTGCAGGAGCTGCAGCAGGACCTGCAGGAGCCGCGGGATGGCCGTCCCCCTGGGAGTGCTCCTGCTGCTGGGGACCAGCCTCGCGCTAACAGGTGAGGGACGGGATGTGTGCCACAGCGGTGCTCTGCGCTGCGGTAGATGTGCGGGCTTGTGTCCCTTTAAAAAGATTGTTTTGGTTTTTAAGCTCACTACTTGCTGCGACAAAGTTTTATTTGTGCTAACCTCTTCGAACTTGCTTTTGAAATAACTTGTCCAAAATTTAAATGACAGACGGCTTCTCTTTCTCTCCAATAATTCGTCATCGGACACTGTTATGGTGGAACAGCTGGTGGAATCTCGTGAACTGCAACAATCTTGGGATTGAAAAGACTTTGGGACCCAAACCTGTGGACCTGTATAATATGGTCGATGCAGTGCGGCGATAGCTCCGCCAGCAGCGGACCGATGTCACCTGTTTCTTCTTGACGCCCGTTATTTCGCCTGTGATTGCAATAATTCCAACTCACAGTTAGGTCTTTTATTCCTGGTGGATTTGACTCGCAGCTGCCCCGCTCTAGAGCAGCTGGTGGACAGCTGGCTGCGGCTGCGCTCATGGAAATGACGGCAATAATGCAGTAACTGGATTAGGCGGACGCGCCGGCAGAGAGAAGGGCGGGCTTTGCCGGCGCCGCCCTGGTTCCGTAAATGATCAAACCAATGTTTTTCTAGAGCGTGTTCGTCTCACGTTCCTACCACCGTGTCATTTTATTTCAAAATGTTTGCTCATTCCTCCGCTAACGTACTACGGATCTCTATTATCTTGGAGACTTCAACGCAGGAGAGCAGGCACAGCGCTGAATGGGTGCGGCTGACGCACTGTAAAAAATATGCACAGCGTTAGCAGCAGTCTAAAACTGTTCATTGGAGTGAAAACTCTTAATTGTGAAACAATGTACTTTATCCTACGGCTTACAATAATTGTTCAAAGTTTTGATTTAATTTCTTGCCATAAACCAAATAGTGCAGAAAATTCTACAGTTTAAATAACTTTTCCAATTGACAATTTAAAATTGTTGATAATACATGCTGGGCTTGTTCTTAGCGATGTCTAGGTGCAGTAGACCCGCAGAGCCGTTTAGACAGGGAAGTTCTTTAACCGCATCTAGAGATGTGTAAAAGCCCGCACCCCATCGGTAGGTGGGGAGGCCAATGTGTCGCATCTGCAGACACAAGCTGCTGTGCTGCTGCTGCAGACGACTGCTGCGATAATAAACGGCCTTCCTCATTGGCGGCCATAAACCGCACCAAATAAGTGCCGGAGAGGACGAAAGCGACGAAAAAAAGCATCGCGCAAGGTGAAAATAGACGCACTAGCGGTACTGCCACGCCATCTGCCGTTACTACCTGATATGTCTTGGGTGTCATTTTTTACTTCCGGGAATCAGAGCTCTCCATTCAGTCAGCCGTCATTTGCATGATAAAATGCCAGGCTGTTGCTGCACTGCTGGAAATCCAATTTTACCGGGTGTACCTGGAGCGCATTCAAAGGAGAAAAATCCACACTTCACAACACCGGAGCGGATTCAAACATACACCCGGTACGAATGTCACACTACCTATTAAGCGAATAAACTCATGGAGTGTTTTGTGAGCTTGATCTCCTACTATTGCATAAGGTGGCCGGTTAAGTACGCTTTTGTTAAAGGGCAAAACTGACACTCGCACGTTTGGATTGCCATCACCTTAAAAAATAATTTGTCAATTCTAATTGAAATTGTAAAATTACAAAAATTATGGAAATACCATGTATCAATGTGGCATTTTTCGCAAAAAAATATATTGTAAATTTGAAAATAATTTTTTTCAATGTGACCGTGAGACGCTCATAGTTTGATACCCGGGTGAGGGGTTTTGCGCCGGACTATCGCGCTTCTGAAGGCCGCGGGGGAGGACGGCCCTCTTCGTCGTCTAGCTCATCCCGTGTGAACTTGTGGCGTGGGCGGAGCGCGGAGCGCGGCCGGGCGGCCGGGGTCGGGCCGGCCGGCACGGGGACAGTCCGCTCCGGCCCTGAGGTGTCGCCCGCTGAGTCAGGGCGCTGTTTGGAAACCCCGACCGCAGAAACGCACTCGTTTTGAGGCCCAAGGCAAAATGACGCGACGGCGTCGTCGCTCATTTTCTGGATACTCTTTCACTTTCATGCGCGGTGACAGGGAAAATGACCACGCGCGGTATATCGAGACTGCGACTAACCCCCACGATGGTGTCGGTACGACCTTTCACGTGCTAGTGTGCAAACTTCGTGGACTACAATTTTTATTGACGTGGTCGTGGTTGATGTATAATTTAGCAATTTCTAGTAATAAAACTATAGGAGGCTTAGCAGAGTCGCGCACACGTGCCCGTGGCGTTCCCGTGGTGGGGCGTGGTGGGCTGTGGTGGGGCAGGGCGTGGCGGTCGGGAAACCGAACTGGACCGAAGGGAAATAACGAAGAAGGGGAAAAGAACGGCGCACCGTTACCGTGGCAACCAACACACTGCGATCGGCCCGCGTGCTCATGGACAGACTTTTGTACCCCACCTCGCTCCGCCACGCCCCGCTACGCCCCGCCACGCCCCGCCACGCCCAACCCAGGCGGTGCCCCAGGTGGGTCGCCCCCAAGGCCCTCTGGCCGCCGGCCAGCCTGCTGTCCAGAACTGCGCGCCGCGGTGCCAGGCTTTATGTCGGCATTAGAGCCCCGCCACCCCCCGCCACGCCCCACCACGCAGCTATCAGCTGACGCTTATCTTCTATAGCACCTCCACGGTACGCTCCACGCAGCCACCCGACCGCGACCAGAACAACATAGCATAAGATTTTACCTTTTTTTTTCGGGGAATTCCAGCGGATACTACTTAGCTGTATTGGCATTAGAAAAAAACACACTGTTTGTCCGCAACCATGCGAAATGCGATGTTTTCATATGTTGGATTGCTGTTAGCAGAAGTTGGCCTCCTCCACACTCACCCCCTGTCTCCTTCGACCTTTGCCTTATCCACAGGCGAAAGGAGAAATTCGCTCGACGATTTGACTTGGTGCGAGCCTCTGCGTTTTACCTTCCTTTACTCACTCACACACACACACACACACACACACACACACACACAACACACTTCAGGGACTCTGAGCGGACGGTTTCGATCTTCATTGTCATGCTCGTAGATGGCAGGCAGGCTGCTGCTGCTGCCGCTGCTGGCTCTGGACCATACCTCTGTACCACCTGCGTTGCAGCAGCAGACTATTGTAGGCCCTGATCTGCGGCGTGGACCGGCCGTGAGTGGACAACAATCGCTCGCCTTTCCTCCTACTCCCTCCCCTCTTCCTCTTCCTCCCCTCTTCCTCTTCCTCCCCTCTTCCTCTTCCTCCCCTCCGTTCCTCCTCTTGCTTCTACGTTCGCTCCCACCGTCCCTCCCGCCTGGCCCACCTTCTCGCGGGCAGGCACACAAACAGCCAGGAGGTCCAAGTTTACGCCTTGAGCCGTAAAATGCTCAGCCCGCCTCCCCCGCCCCGCGTCCCCGCTCCACCCCGCCACAGCCCCCAGCTTCGCCCCGCCGTTTTCGTGGCTCCGGTTCTTGTTGTGGAGTGTAATGGTCTGCTTCGCGCGCATCCTTTTTCAAGGCGCGGCGGGAAAAAGAAGCAGAAGCCTTTCCGCGCGGTGCTCTACGGCCGACCAGACAAGACGAAAAAAATTGCGAAAATTTGAATGAAACGCCGTGGAAAACGGTTCGTGCCCAAATACCCACTAGAAGCTGAGTGGAAGTTTGGTTTTCGTGGGCTTATTTTGCTTTTTTCTATGCTGCATCTGCACATTAAATTTCTGTGATATTTTTTATACACACTTATGCATTTTTCTTTACTCGCGTTGTTGCTAAATCATGTCATACCCGCTCATACCCAACTGGAGACAAAATTGTTAATTACTGACAATTTTCCGAATTGCTTGGGTGCGCAGGATTGCAGTACTATTGTGTACAAATGTTATGAGTGGTAATGTTAACACGCCGTATCAAATGCACCGGCATACGGCATACGGCATGCCGTACGATTTAATCAATCGGTTCAAATTTTGACTTGTCGCACGCCGACTTCCTTTCTTGAATATCCGCTGCGCTCTGCCCCTCTTTCGACCGTTCATTCTTTTTCTCTCTCTCTGCCTCTCTTTCCTCTTGGTTCGGAACAGAACCGGCCCCTCGAGCAACAGGTTGAGCTGGCCACCGCAGCCGCACCGGAAGCCCGCAGCCCGGACGGCGGGCGGGCTCTGGCTTGCCTTAGGCTCGAGGCCCCACCCCGCCCTGCCTCGCCCCA